CTCTCGCGCTCCGACCTCTGCTTCCTTTCTCACACCTCCTTTCCCTCACTCTGACGTTCCTGCCTCCCACTCGTTGGGCCCCTGGGTGAGCCACGATCCCCCACCCCCACCCCCAGGCTCCTAATCACATTGGCAAAGTCCCTTTTACCACGTAAGGTAAGGCGGTCACAGATTCTGGGATTGGCACACGGGCATCGGGGGAGGGCACCACTGTGTCATAGAGAGTGGAGATTCCTCCCAGGGGGTGATGAGTGTAGAGAGAGGGGCTGTCGCTTTAGCCAATCCACGGTGTCCGACATTTTACCGACACGAGCTTATTTCACAGGCCAGAGCGCAGAGGGGGTCCTGGCAAACAGGGTTTCTCGGTCGCAGTCCGGTCTGAGTCTAGGACTTGGTTAGCCTAAATCCTCGGGGGGAAACGCGGGTCCTGTTGTCGAGTAGCGACGGCTCAAATCGGAAGAAACTCCTGTCGTTGCCCTTTGCCCCTTCTTAGTGCGCGGAATTCAAAGGTGGTGTCTGGAATTGCGGTGGACATCCTGGGGCCATGAGGTGACAAGTAGGAAAACGAAGAGTCAGCATGCGCCACCACGCTGAAGCACTGGCAGAGCAGAAAGATGTAAGGGTCCTTGAGGACGTCGCCGAGCTGAGACCACCTCTTTGTTAAAGAAACACTCAATGAACACTTACGATCGGAGCCGTCGCTACTCAACAAACGCGGGTCTTGCTCTTCCCTCGTTCACTCCGCGTGTGAGCCGAACACCGACGTGCTGCTTTCTGTCCCCGCAGAACCAGCCAGAGCTGGCGCCTGCAGGGCGCGTCGGGCCAGGGCTGCCCCCCCGGGGAACTGAGGCTGCTTCTCCTGGGGAAACGTGGAGCGGGAAAAAGCGCCACTGGAAACACTATTCTGGGCAAAGCCGTGTTCCCGTCCAGATTCAGTGGGCAGATGGTGACGAAAACGTGCCGGAGGGAGAGCAGCGACACGGCAAGCGGGAAGGTCGTGGTCATCGACACCCCCGACATTTTCTCCTCGATGGCTTCTGCCGGAGACAAGGACCACCACGTTCAACAGTGCCGGGAGCTCTCCGCTCCCATCCTCCACGCCTTCCTCCTGGTGATTCCCCTCGGCTACTACAGGGCAGAGGACAGAGAAACGATCGAGGGCATCCAGAAGGTGTTTGGAGCTGAAGCCAGGAGGCACACCTTCGTCATCTTCACCTGGGGGCATGATTTGGGGGACGAGTCCATAGAAGACTACACGGAAAACAGGGAGGATCTTAGAGAGCTGCTAGCGAACTATGGAAACCGGTACTGTGCTTTCGACAACAAGGCAGGCGAGCAGGAGCGGCTCAGCCAGGCGAGGAAGCTGCTCCACGAGGTCAAGCGAATGGTGGCTGAGAACCGAGAACCGTATCACGTGACCTGCGGGAAGGCGGGCGATGCGTTCCAGGTGAGCGTCCTCGTTAAGGTCTCCAAGGGTCCCTGTGCGGGGCGGAGCGGGAAGCAGATGGGCACAAACGTGCGCTTGGTGTAAGGGGCTACTTATCCATCATCCGGGAAGAGGAGGCTCCGGACGGTAAGTTACTTCGAATATTCCCCCTTTGGACTTGACCGGGAAATCGATGGATCCATTTAAGTCCTCGTCTAACTTTACCCCTCATAGTTTTGGACACACACGGGACTCGTTAGTCCCCACCTCCCCTTGGCTTCGATGAAACTACCGTCTTCTTGCTTCTCCCCCTCTTTCCGGCCACTCCGGAGGTGGCCGAGTCCCCCTCCAGTGACCTCTAAGAGCTGGCGTCTGCGGGGCTTGGTTCTCGCCTTCCTTCAGCCCTCTGCACTCTCCCCTCGGGGGCTCTCACGTTTTGATGGCTCCGAGCTCCATCCATCGCTAGTGGTTTCCACATTCGACGCTCTCGTCCGGGTCTCTCCTCCAAGCCCCGACTCCTTTGTCCAACCGCTACCCGACATGGCCATTTGGCTGTCTTAGAGGATCTCAAACCTAGCGTGTCCAGGCTTCCGATTTCCTCTCTTAAATCTCTAAGACCGTCTCCTTTCCTCTTGACTCGGTGAACGGCTGTGCCGCTCGCCATGCCCGTCAAACCCGAGCCCAGAGGCCAGCTTCCATAGCACGGCTAGTTTGCATCTGCGATCCGAGAAACGCTCAGGTACCTGGAACCCACCTGCTTCTCTCCACCTGAGCCCCACCGCCTGGCCCAAGCCGGCCTCTCCTCCTAACCTGTGCTAGTTTACACATGATCTGCTGACAACCTTTCCCCTCATTCATTCTTGTGCCTTATAGCCCGGTCCACTTCACACACGACAGACAGGGTGATGTTTTATTTAATTTTTGAAAACTCGAAAGGAAAATGTCTTTGTAACGAAGGAAGATACACAAATGTCAGCCTTTGCTTTGAGGAGCTCACGCTTCAGCTGGAGTGACTTATGCATAAGAACCGAAGCAGTTACCGATGCGGTGGAACCGAATGTTGGCATAGAGGATTCTGTAAATATAAGTGCCAAAGAATGTAAAGCAAGCAGAAATCCACCGTGGGGGCCATCTGGGTCAGGGCGGGTCGGATAAGAAAGAGCACTTAGGTCACTTGCTAAATTATCTCCTAGGCCTGAGCCCTCTCACCCTCCTTTATGGCCATGTGTCTGTCCCTTAAAGGCTGCATGGGACAGAGGTGTCAGCAGAGAGGAAAAGGGCACAGAAGGAGTTTTTCCCAATGTCGCCTGAACACAACGCCCTCGTATGTAAAAGTCTCCGGTGACTTTCCGCCGAGTTTCCGACGAGGTTCGGAACCTTGACCTCACCACAGCCTACTCTGCTCTCAATGTGCTGGTCTCAGCAGCCTTCCCTGTGGTCCTCGAGTTATACTCATGTCCGCTCTAGAGCTTCAAACGTGCGACTTCCTCTGTCTTGACACTACCCCTCTCCCGTCCCACCTGTACCGGGTCTGCTTTTATTTATCCATCCGTCTCGGCTTAAACTCACTTCCTCCCCAATCGCCCCTGGAGCGAGCTCCCGCAGCTGCCCTCACATCACCCGACAGGTGTCGTCACCTCCAGCTATTTCCATGGTTACCTCCCCACGAATTTCTTGAGACAGAACTCAGATCTGTTTTGTTGACCACAGTCTCTTAGCTTCATCATCTGGAAAATGGAGATAATATCTATCTCAGGGATGGTGGTGAGTATTAAACGAGATGCTAACAAAGTTGTTGGCAAATAACGCGAGAGTGGGCAGATGTTCAATAAGTAGTCACTACCATCATGACTGTTGTTATTACGGAAGTGTATGAGGTCTGAGTCAATTATGGAGACTCTAAGGAATTTAACAATCCAGAGACTGGGCAAGATTTCTGCTTTTAGGACTCGATCATCCAGAAATAAAAATATTAGTATGTATAAAGATGTATGTACAGGGATATTTATCACTACATATTTCAAAATAGCAAAACCAGAGATATACCGAAGACGTAGCAATAAAGGAATAGTTGCATTAGCTGTAAATGTTACATATGGAACAAATCACATCCACCACCAAAAAAAAAAAAAAAAAGGAGGAAGATCTACATGTATCGACTACATGTATAGGACATATTATTAAGCAGATCGCAGAACAGTAAGCCTAGAAAGTCTCTCTCTCTGTTCATATATGCGTCTATGTATCTGTACAAACACAGGAAAACATAGAAGGATGTATGTATGAGTTAACACCTGTTACTTTTCTCGTGGATAGGAGATGGAAAAATTATTTTAAGATTGTACACATTTGCATTGTAACAATCCTTTGGATTTTAAAAAAACAGAAGACTTTGAGCTGGGCTCTATAAGGTGAAAGCGGCCTGATAATCAGAGCATCCCGGGAGAGAGGTGATCGAAGGTGTCAGTGATTTGGGGTAAGACTAGGTAAGAAAGCAGAGGGAAACTTGGAGATTTAACAATTGACTCTCAGCATGGACAGGTCTGCGAAAGCCAACAAGGACCATGACCGTGGCCTTGAATTGACACATCCTAATCATCGATATTTAATGACCCTGAATCCTATGCTTGCGTCTCCATTTCTTTACTTTGTGGACGATGAGATTTTTAGATCTGTGTGCATCATTTCCCCCCTTTATTTTGTAGGACTGTGAGAATAAAGCTTCATCTCAGAAGGGGGACAATCCACATGGTAAGATGATCTTTTAAAAAAATGCGAAGCTCAGCTTCGTGTTCTTTTGAATGCATAGTGCATCGAAGCGAAGTGGAAAAAATATCTGGATAAGTCGGAGCAAAACCGCACCCTGGAAACCTAGCTCAGAGCGGTGCCTACAGCCGGTCTCCCAGGGAACTCCAACGCTTGCGAGTAGACGTGGCACCAGCAAAGATCCTGGACACCGTGTAGGTGTCCCTTGACTTTCCCTGAAATATTATGGAGCCAAACTTGCCTCCCACGCTTCTCCCCTGACTCAGCCCCTTCTTCCTGGCTGTGGACCCAGCGCACCCCAATTTTTGACCCCTCCTGGGAAAGCACTAACTTGCAGAATTCAGTGATGGAGCTCAGTACCCATGTGGTGATTGCCATTAATGATACATCCCGCCCTCTGCCCACGTCGGTACCTGTAGATCTACCCGGTTCTGTGTAGTAGGTGCAGTCTGGCCCACAGATGGGCACACGTGACTAATTCAACCATCCCTTCATGGATGGGCTTTCGGTGATTTCTGGGCCAGCTCTGTGCAAGAACTTGAATATTCAACAGTGAGTAAAATAGACAAGATCTTTCTCCCCACAGGATCCCCCAAAATAACTATTAAAATTTTAATAATGATAATTGCAGCTGACATTATGGGCCGGAAAATTATATGTAACATGGACCAACCAGTCAATCCTCATAGAATGTAATATATAATCCTCGTGCCAACCCTATAAAGAAGATATTAGTATCATTGCTCTCATTTCACAGATGAGTAAACTTAGTCAGAAATATGCGAACTCAAGCAGCAGTAGGGACTTAAAATTCTGTCACTGCCCTCCGGCCAAGACCCCCAGGGACATCCCAGTTACAAGACGAAACTGGCTTTATTGACTTGTGGCCCCAAGAGAATAGCACGTCACAGGGAACCATGGGGTGTCTCAGAATGCGGTGTTGGAGAGGACCGTTTATAGGATTGGGCTTGTGTGAGGTGATTTTGGGGAACGTAGTGACCACCCAAAGGCGGTATATAACAAGGACATGATGTCATTGGCATTTCAGCTGCTTCCTTTAAATGCCATGTTCATTGCTCCTCCCAGATGGACAGCACAGACAGAGGGACAGTCCAAACGATGGCACTCTGGATGGCTCGGGTTCAGTGACAGTCTCTGGAGTTGGCGGCTCTGCCATTTGCTCAGCACGTAGGTCTGCCGTTGACCTTGGGCCTCAGGAGAAGTGGAGAGAACAGGGTGTGTGTTTAGAGACAGTTTTGCGATGCAGGTTTTTACAACGATCTATCGAGGTACGATTTACACGGAGCAAAACACACAAATGTTAAGTATACAGCTCAATGACTTTCTATATGCCTACACATGTCACCGCCATCTAGATAAATATGTGAATCATTTCCGTCACCTTAGAAGTCCTTACCACATCGCACCACCCTCCAAGGGAACTACTCTCCAGACTTCTATCAACACAGATTCATTTTGTCTGCTCTTGAACGTCACATAATATGTTCACATAGCATGAGGTTTTGCGTCTGGCTTTCTTTACGTTGTGTGTTTTGGAGCTACATCGACGTCACGTATCAGTAGTTCAATTTTACGAATATACTGCTCTGGGTCATTTTCAATTCAGATCCTCCCTGTTCCCACCTCAGCCCACAGACATCACGCCCCAATACTTACCTTCAGTAGCAAAATGTGAGGAACCCTAAGACCAAGACCAGTAAAGGTCAAGTTGAACATTTTCACATTCCTGGGAAACCTCGAGCCCTTTATATATCTCTTCGTTTGTCCACGGCCCCTTTCGTGGCTTCCTCTGTGATGGGCAGCTTTCTGAGTGGCCCGGAGTCCTGCTGGTCCAGCGGGCCCACTGCCGTCCTCTGTAAGAACCGGCAAGGATGAGAAAGCATGAAGCCTGTCTGCATCTCTGTGTTCAAGTGCAGGGAGAGACTCACAACCTGTCCTCTCATCCCGCAGGGCCAGGGGAGCTCCCGCGGCAGGCCCCGGAGTGCCCGCAGACCCGGGGAACGTCGGAGCTGAAGGTCCTGCTGGTGGGGAAGCGCGGGGCTGGAAAGAGCGCGGCCGGAAACAGGCTTCTGGGGAAGCAGTTCTTTGAGACCAAATTCAGTGAACAGCCTGTCACTCAGAGGTTTCAGTCTGAGAGAAGAACCTGGAGAGAGAGGGAAATTTTGATCATTGATAGTCCAAACTTGTCGTTGTCAACGGACTTCAGGTCAGAGCTCCAGGAGCACGCCTCTCCGGGCCCCCATGCCTTCTTGCTGGTGACCCCGCTGGGCTCCTTCGGCAAGGAAGATCAGGAGGTGCTGAGAATTATGGAGAACAGTTTCGGACACAAGTTCTATGAGTTCATGATCATTCTCTTCACCAGAAAAGAAGACCTGGGGGATCAGGAACTACACACGTTCCCAGAAACTGGAGATACAGCCCTCCGCGACGTCCTGCGGAAATGTGGAGACCGATCCAGCGCCTTTGGCTACAGAGTCACCAGGGCGGAGGAGCAACGCCAGGTCGACGAGCTCCTGGAGAAACTTGTGAGCATGGTGCAGCAGAGCGGGCACCGGCCTTGCGCCTTCCAAAAAGGTAAGCGGTGCCTAAAAAGTGTTTTGGATGTGCTTGCAAAACGTAGATAGAGAGCCTTTTGTTTCCCGAAGGGCATAGGCAAGATAAAAAGGACTCTTTCTCTTTCTCACGTCTTCTGCGATTTCGCCGAAGTTTCGTGCCTTTCCGGGCACACCGCGCCGACCCTGATCTGGTCTCTCCGACTGGATAGAGAGGGTCTTGCGGGAAAGAGGCGACGTTTTCCAAGCGCTTCTTTCTCTTACGCGCGGGTCCGCCCTCAGTCACGAGTCTTTCCCGCTTGCTCCTGGCAGAGACCCTGCGCCTCGTCCTCCTCGGGAGAACGGGGTCCGGAAAGAGCGCGACCGGCAACACCATTCTCGGGAGATCTGCCTTCGCCTCTCTGCTCAGCGCACGGCCGGTCACCAAGACGTGCCAGACAGAGAAGAGGACTGACCAGGACGTGGTGGTCGTGGACACTCCTGGCCTCTGCCCCGAGACCCAAGAAGCCCAGCTAGAGGAGATCGTGAGCTGTGAGGACATGAACACAATCCTGGTGCTGGTGTTCCAGCTGGGGCGGTTCACTGGCGAGGACGCAAAGGTGGTGGCGATGCTGGAGACCATCTTCGGGGAGGACGTTCTGAAGTACACGATCCTGCTGTTCACCCGGAAGGAAGACCTGGAGGGCGGGAGCCTTGAAGATTACCTCGAGAACATGAAAAACGGTGCTCTTAAGAAGGTAGTTAAAAAGTGTGGCGGGAGAGTTTGTGCTTTCAACAACAAAATCACTGGCCAAGCTAGGGAACAGCAGGCGGAGGCACTTCTGAAAATGGCCAATGAGCTGATAAGCAGTCACGGAGGGCAAGGATATTCCCAGGGGCATGGGATTGACGAGAGTGTCGGCAAACTTAAAAATATGGTAAAGAGTTTAAAAGAGAAGGCTCTCGACACGTTTAAGGTCTTTTCCGTTTCGAAAACGCTTTAGGTTGCACTGTGGGCGCCGCGTAGGGCGGGTGGGGTGGATGAGGGCTTGAGAAGTGAATGCACCTTGTGAAGCTTCCACTCTTCGTAGCCGAATAGATTGTCAGGCTGGGGCAGGTAGTAGGGGATCAGAAAGGAGAAAGCAGGTGGCCTGCTGGCCCCCTGAGCCGGCAGCATTATTTTCGCTCTCCCTTCGTTTCAAGTCTGAATGTGAAGTGGGCCCCAGTCAACCCTTCTTCGCTGCCCCTGAGGAAATAAACGTGACTCTGTGAGGTTTCAAAAGATTTTATTGCTGATCACCACCATGAAATAGACTAGAACAAACACCAGGAGCCCCGTAAAATGGCCACGATCAGACGACGTGCAGAGTTCTGAAATTCTAAGTATAATCCTCGATTTCTTCTAGAAAAGGTTATTGAAAACTCCACACTTTCTCCTCTCTCTCTCTCTCTCTCTCTCTCTCTATCCCTAGAGATTAGGAATTAGGTTAAAACTCAGAGAACTCAAATAATAATGGCTTCCACGCATTAGGGGCTTAAAGTGTCTCGCGCCCAAATGTCCGGGAGCAGGTCATCTCTGAGGCCCGTGCGGCGCTGATGTTCCCGCTTCACCCTGACACACTGGCGACCTCCATGCCCCAGGTCGCTTCCCGGTTCCAAGCAGATTAACTTGAAAGCCGCCTGGTGCAGGTGCTACGTGAGATAAAAATGACAGAAGCGGCACCTAGTCAGTGTAAGGCCAGATGTTCTCAAGGTTAAGCGCCTTACAGATGCCTCGGGGATGAGGTCGATGTCGTCTGCCTTTGGTCTTTGAAAGCGTCAGGTTACTTTCACGATGAACTCATTTGTAAGAGCGCGGGCTGTTGCCATTAATACTTTCATACTCTACATCACCGTTCATGTGACAAATTCTGGAAGACGTGGGTGTACATATATTCAGTTGAATGAAATAATAAAGATGAATTATGCTCTGAGTTTACGCCCTCCTGATTCCTATTTTTCTGACTTGGGGGAAGAGTGTGCCTCCACGGAGAGGCAGTGTTTAGATGCCTCGACTCCGGTGAGGTTTTTGTTTCTTTGGTGCCTGCGGACCTTCAGACTGGGCGACAGCCACTTTAGTAGACCTCTACCAGCTCGGGCTTCTGTCACGCTGGGCATTTCACTAGAGTGAGGACAGATAAATGCCACTAGGATTGGAACCAGCACATGGGGGTAAGACGGTCTAGGAGGCGTGTGTACCTCTCCCCAGAGCTTCTCTTTCTGTTCAAAGGCAGGAACAGACCCTGCCCCCCATGGTCGAGCAGGGGACATGGGGGCTGACCGAGGTCGGGGATGTGAGGGCATCGCCTCCCAGGGAGGAACTGCCGCTCTCCTTGAGGACTACTCTTTGGGGATGGGGGTGGGAGGAGGTGGTGACGATACTGCTGTGTCGGTTCCTCCTGGAAACACTTGCTTTATTGGGGGTGGGGCTGGAGTAATGTCTGTTAAAGACAAAATGCAAGAAGCTGACCCGGGCAGAGAAAGCCGCGGACCTCACTGCAGGTCCGACTTTTGCAGAAGGAGAGCAGAGGAAGCTGGGTTGGATAAGGAGGCCCCAGATCTGACAAAGCCTGTGCCAACTCAGTGGGGAGTCCTGGGGCACAGCCTGACCAATAGCCACATCCTGCATTGGGCAGACACTGGTGTGGCTGTGTTCGGCCCCCACCCTCCCCCTCCGCTAGAACAAAGGCTACGTTGGTCACAGCTGTCACAGCTGGAGGCTATCAGCTGACTGCTCACAATGCCAGATTTTTGTTTCTTCCTTTTTTTTTTATGTGAGAAAGACACAACTACTCAGTGACTCAAGAAGAAATAAAATCAGAACATACCTATAACAAGTAAAGAGATGACATGAGTAATATAACAAAACTACCCCCAAAGAGAAGCCTAGGACCAGATGGCTTTACTGGTGAATTCTACTAACCACTTAAAGAAGAATTAACACCAATACTTGGCAAACACTTGCAAAAAAAAAAAAAAAAAAAAAATAGGAGAGGAGGAAGTACTTCACAATTCCTTCTAGGAGGTCAGTATTATCCAAAAATGTTACAAGAAAAGAAAACTTTGGACTAATATCCTTTACGAATATAGACCTAAAAATCTTCAAAGAAATACTAGCAAATCAAAATACAGCAACTCATAAGCAGAAGTACATACCGTAAGAAGTATGTACCACATGGAAGTATATCTGGGATTTATCCCAGAAATGCAAGGTTGTTTCAAAATATAAATATCAATCAATGTACTACATCATATTAATAGAACAAAAGACAAAAATCACATGATCACCTCAAAAGATGCAGAAAAAAATGTTTGATAAAACTCAACACCCTCTTATGCTAAAAAAGCCCGATAAACCAAGAAATGTAATTGTGATGCTCTTCAACTTTTTAATTTTTTTTATGCTTCCCAACTGTCCTCACACGTTCCAGACTCCTTGGTATTTTAAGCAAAGCCCTTTATATTGTGGCATCCATTTATCCGCTCATTTATCACGACTTATACTCAAAGAGTTACACCCACGTGTCCTGCCCTTCCGCTCACATGGCTTCCTACGGCAGCGGTCCCCACGTCTGACTGTTCCCCCACCTCCCCAGACATGCACATGTGCGCGGATGACCGCTCCGATTCATCCCTTAGGTTCAAGGATTAATCTTAAATCTCACATTTTTAAGGAACGTTTTCTGCCCCACCCAAGGCTGACTTAACTGCTCTTCTATTTGCTTCTATCGCGTTCTATGCCTACCCAGATCAAGTGCTTGGTACTTCCTGTTTGTATCCCCAAGTACATTATAAAACCCTTGGTGACAGAAGAATCCTTTTTGTTAAATTATATCCCAATATCCGATAAGGCCAAGGCCCTCGATGTATAATTTGTCAGTCATATGTCAGTCGAGTGTCCCTACTCCTTGATGACTGGGCGAAATTAGGTCCAAACAATAAATCTATACTGCGTAAGAGTTCAAAATCCTTCCTTCGATTTCTAAGAGTTTTGTTTCCTTGTTCTTCAGCCTTTTCTCTGTTTCCTCGTTCCTGTGAAATTATGCAGTCTACCAGTCCAGACCACAACTCCGAAAGCCCAAAATGCAGTATTATCACTTAAAAAAAAAATACAAAAAAAAAAAAAACCCACAGGAATTCATACACAATTATTTATATGCAGGTTTTCCTTTTTTTTTTTTTTTAGTCTCAGGAACTTTCTGGAGAGTCTGCCGAGTGCACGAGTCAGCACGTAGCCTCCCTCTTCCTTTTTGATCACTCTCTTCCTTTTTTGCTTGTTTTTAAAAAATTGTAAGATGTTTCGTTCGTGTGTATGAGGTCCCGTCCCTTAGTGGATAATAACATCTCTCTTGCAGTCTGTCCAGATTTGGTCAAAAAAACCAAACTCACCTTACGCCTCCTTCTTTCCACATTATATTGAAAGGTAGGAAACGTCACTTTAACAAACGTTAAAAAATTTCCCACACCTTCAGAATATCGGATACATTATAGTCGAACATCAAGTGTGGACCAAAGAATGCTGAGGGTACTACTCCATCAGGGTTAATGAGAAGATATATTGGTGCTTATTTCTGGTTTCCAATTTGTTTTCTCAGAATATTTAAAAGACTCGATTCAAAGTCTTCTAGCTCTTAAGAGAGGGCTGTCTCTTTTTTAATTTTCTGCATCTGGCTTTTGCTAGCTGTTGGCTGGTTGCTGCTTGTTATTTCGGGTGTTTGGTTGCTTTGCCTCTATCTCTCCATCTCATGAGGTTGGCGGAGAGAATGTGTTACTGATGTGCTTCCTGGTTTTGCCTCATTCTTCCTTTGTGGTCTAGGGGGTTGTATCTGAGATTGGCTTATTATTTTGCACTTGAGGTTTAAATTCTGGGGTGGCTTCTCGTGCAGCTTGAGGTCGGTGACTTGTTTGTTCCTTAGAGCTGGGGTTCTAAAGATCATTTCAGTATGGGCTCCTCGTTGGGTACTTAGAAAACTGCTTGATAAGTTACCACGTTCATTTGAAATACTATGTCCGAAAATTTCTGCTAAGAAACCAGCCATATTTCTGCATTCGATGGCATGTTAATCTTATGCAGGAAAAAAACTAGTATAATGCAAAATCTTGGGCCGGTTACTTTTTTTTGGTGTCAAATTTACTTACTTGAATTTATTGTGCCCCTTATTAACGCATAACCTGGTGACACGTGTACTGGTGTCATTGGGCTCCCCTTCCTCTGGCCACCAAGTAATGTATATATAATTAGAGGCCACTGTTCGGGGAAATAAGTTTGCGTGTGTGTGTGTGTGTTTTGTTTTGTTTTTTTTTTTTAATACCCCGTCTCACAGATGTCTCACATCTGCAATTGCATAGCAAGTAGCAACAAAGCTTTGACAAGAGTTTAGCTACGAGGCCAAACTCATCATAATCGGGGTCATTTTGGGGTTGTCGTACGTCAGCACTTTCTTCATTTCTTGCAATGTAGAAGAATGTCTGTTATCCACGGCAGGAAACTATGGTTTGGTTGATATCTGTACTATTATCAACTGGCCAGAAGCTGTTAGATCCTATGGCTCTGAATCTCTTTTGGCCATAGACACTTTTTGTGGCAAAAGTTTCACGATCGCCACCAAGGTAAGGCACAAATTTACTCTAATAAAAGAAGGTGCACCCTATTTAAATCCCACTTGCTTGTGGTGCAAGATCCTTTTAATGTGCTGTTGAGTTTGGTTTGCTAATATTTTGTTGAGGATTTTTGCATCTGTGCCTACCAGAGGTATTGGCCTGTTGTGTTCTTGTCTGGTTTCAATATCAGGGTTATTTTGGTCTCGTAAAACAGGTTTGGAAGTGTT